GTTTGAATGCTTTAAAATGCATGAAGTTGGTCTAATTGTGACGAAGAAACATCTAAAATAATAACAGCACAAAACCAGCAGCATAAAAGTGCAACTAAGTCCTGTAACTTGTGATTGGAGCAACAAAGGTATAAATAATTTGCTTTCTTCCCTGACCTTATCAGCCCAACAACAAAGCAATAAAACGGAGTGTTACTCACCCACTGGTACATTAACTTGCCCCACTCCTCCGGTTGTCTCCACATGACTAAACAGCGAGTCTTATTTTTATCCAGCCATTCGAGGTTGCCTGAAGTCAGACAAAAGGGACAAAACAAACACGTTTATAACTGCTGAATCCTGCAGTGACACAAAAATGATGAGTTTCCTTAATCTCCACACTGAAATTACAAATAAAGAATAAGACTTACCTTTTTTTCTCAACTCCTCAAACACAACTTGAATTGCTTCCACTGACAATTTTCCTGGAATTGCATTAAGGTCAAACACAACATGGATGTTTTGTGTAGGCTTATATTAAAATGAAATCCTGGAAACAAAAGGAGCAGAATCTAACCAAGAAAGGCAGCAGCCTTGATGCAAAAAGGAAGAAAACCAATAACAACAGTAATATGGACAAACAATAACATATAGTGTTGGATACGTTTTACATCTCAATAAAGACAGCATGGGTCCTTCTTTTAACACCTTTGCCAGAATAAATAGGAACATGTTTTAGTGCTAGAAATCAATGATTTCTAGGCTCTGTTTAGAATGCATTCTTCATTTGGCTTGAATGTTGTAACATTAGGATACGTTCCATCTTCTTGTTGTTGAAGACGGGGCTTTCCTGAGCCTCCATGACATCCAGAGTGTAAAGCTTGTGATGCCGGCAGTAGGACAGAACCAGGGAACACCATGCTGCCAGCTGCTTCTGTCTTGTGTCAACATTAGGCTGTAGCCTGCCCACAATTACACAAAATATGCAAGCAAATCTCACAACTTTACAAATGGAATTCAGTTAATCAGCGCATTTGACATTTGTACAAAACCTGTAAGAATATAATAGCAATTTAATTTTAGACTTGTTTCTATTTAATTATCATGGCCATCATCAGAGTAATGTGTTGTTATTCCACTTAAATCCAACCTAAAAATCGTTTACAGACATAATAAACGAGCCACTAACCTCAAATATAGTCAAAGGTAGAAGGAACACACTTTGGGTGACTGAGTCACTAATGAGTGACTGAAACAGATGCTGTATTATACATATGACGTAGAAGTTGGACGTTTTCAAGTGTTCCTTATTATTCTGGTAATGCAGGGTACAGGACTGATCTCTAAAATCTGTAAGTGTACATCAAGTATCCACAGAGGGTACAGAAACAAGACCTTTGTGGGCAATAACACTCCAGCAACAAGCCTATATACCCCAAAAGGTGCAGGGGATCAATCAGTGTGGCATAAAAAAAAATACAAGACAGCAAAGAAAACTGGTCACATTCTGACTGCTTGAAACCAACTGATAAAGAAACAAGGGACTAGTTAAGAGTAGCAGCACTGCATTTTTGTGAAATTCATCAAGACTTTGATCACTTAGTTCTATATTTTACAGACTAGCAGGTGTTTTGTCAAAAATTGTTATCTAAAAGTTTTAAGTGTTAAAAAGAGCAGATTTAACGTTAGCATAACATCATATAGCGTGTTCTCTCAACACAAACTAACAAGAAACCCTTTTTGTAAAATTGTCAGATGTTTGCTAAATTGAGTCTAAACAAGCCACCAAACTTTCCCAAGGCAAGTTATTTCTATACTGTTCAACACATTTGAGTTTAAATCCACTTCCTTAGCAATCTGTCATTTAGCCAACTAGCTGCTACAATTCATGCTAGCTAGAAAAATCAACCAACTTCAGGTCAAATACAAATAAAAACAAAGGGTAATAAACGCGATTAAACGACGCTTTTGTTAAATGCTGTTAAATACTTACGTAAAAAACGGTGGAAAATGATATTGCCAGGGCCACTCAAAACTCATCGCAGTTGATGCTGTGTTCACCAGCTGACAGCTTCCGGAAGCGCTCTAGAACCAGTCAATGGTTCCGGGTTAGTGCACAGGAGCAGACACAAATACTTATTTTATCTTGATGGAGTATTTTAAAAATATATTTGGAAAATAATTTTCAAGCTTTTTTACGGCATCAATTCCAGCAAAATTTGTACTAATATTTATTTATTTATTTATTTATTTGTTTATTCATTCATTCATTCATTCATTCATTCATTCATTCATTTATTTATTTATTTCTTCTTCTTCTTCTTCTTCTTTTCTTCAGTAGTAGCATTAATAACTTAATTGGTATGTTCAAAACCCTAAAAAAATCCCAATTTAAAGAGCTCTGGATATGCTTATTCAAGTTAAACACAAGCTCAAGTTTTAACACGTTTCTCAGAATTAAAAGCTTCTGACAAGTTCAACTTTTAAAAAGCTAGTGATACGTCTATACCGTCTATACATACTTAATTCTATGTAAAAAAAAAGGTGTTCAGTTGTTTGCATAGTCCCTTAAACTTAATTACCAGTAAACGTTTCTGCACATTTTTTAGTAACTTTTAAGGACATTTAAACCACTATTTTATTTTAAACTTTAAGTTAATTTATTTCTACACACTTTTACTGAACACATAATTATAAACAGTTTGTTTTGTACATTTTTTAAATGTATATCTGACTGAAAGGAATTTGTCTCATTTGTGCATATGACAGACTGTAAACACGTGTATTAGAAAAAACTTACTGTCCTTTTTGCCAAGTTATTTTATTATTGAAGAAAATTTGCATTTTCATCTGCTTCTTAGCATAAATATGCTCTTTTTTGCTATTTATGTACATTTATGCTAACATTGATTTCTCTGTTCATCCTCTGATTTTATTTCAATGTTAATTATCAAAGACAAATCCTTTCCAGTTCATCTTTGTCTGGTGATATTTTACAGTCTCTTTACGTACAGCTTAAGTGAAAAAAAAGGGCTGCTTTGCAATTCAGTGAAAATAGTCTATGGCCATCACACATTACAGAATTCAGTTTCTATTCCACAGTAGAAGATTGGTATTCTATATTACAATAAACTCATGGGATGAGACTGAAAAGAAAAAAAAAATGCAAAATATTAAAATACAATCTCTGTTATTGCCATAAGTGTAACATAAATCCGAAACAAATATTAACATTTTTTTAAGTTTTAAAATAAACATACAAGCAAATGAAAGACAACATTAATGCATTCATCCAGGTTTAACCTGGGTTAATTAGACATCTGTGATTTACAGAAAAGTAAACAACAAACAGACAAATTAAGCAAAAGAGAAAAAATCTGAAAAAAGTGGCTTGTTAGATTTAGTCACCTTCGAGTCTCACAGAGAAAAAACATTTTTACACAGTCCTTCAGCTCAGGAAGCTGCTCACACAGAAATCCAAACAAAGTCTGTCTTCACCTGATTGGATAAAAATTAAATCCTTCATTACAAGCAAAGATAGTCTGACACTGTGAGCCTCCAACGGTGAAACATTCAGAGTAAAAACTACATGAAAACTTTTTTTCTTGTCTCGTAAAACTTGACTGCACCTTTGTTTTATTAAATTTATTTTTTATTTTTTTCATTTTAAAGTACATTTAAGTGGCACCAAAGCTGCTGATGTGCGTGCAAAGCTGAACTTGGAACTGCAAAATCAACTCGGTTTGTCTAGGTCTACAGGCAGGTGGCTGCTTTATTGGGAGTAGAAGATACTGTTGTATTCATTCAGGATGAACTCTACAATCTGGTTCTGAAAGACCATGTGCATTGTGATGTTGGAGGACTCCTCCTCTGGCCGAAGCAGCGTTGGGCCGAACACAATCGCTACATTCTGGACAGTCATGCGATTCTCCTCTCCGCACTTAATGAGCCTAAAAGAAACATAAAACAAGGATGACAGTGGAGCAAAACAACTTTTATCTATATTTCTGGAGCAGAGAATACCACATACAAATGCTATAATTACTTTTGAATAACTAATAATTCAACTTTTCTAAGTGTTTGATGTCACTCATGTGGTGTCCCTCAGGGCTATGTGCTGTGCCCCACTCTATTTTCCATTTGCAATATTCTTAGTAGACATGGCATATCTTTCCACTGTTATGCTGTTGTTACTCAGCACTACTGCAAGACACCCTCCACCTTCTCTGCTCCTGTGCTAACATCTACAATAAAGACTAGTCTGGGGGACATAGAAGCATGGATGAAGCTCAACTTTCTTCAGCTGAACAGCTCTCAGACAGAAGCCAGCATCACTCTTTTTGCCAAAACACATCCCTATCTACAACTATCACCACTTTGGGTGTCAAAATGGATCACAAGACCCCTTTGACCCCCACATCAAACACTTGTGTAAGACGTCTTTTTATCAATGCAAAGCTACGTCCAATGCAAAGCTTGGCAGATGCAAAGGAACTTGTCCACACTTTTGTCTCTTCCAAACTAGACCACTGTAATGCAATCCACATCGGGATCTCTGGAAAAAGCATTCAGAGAATGCAATACATCTAGAACATCACTGCAAGGATCTTGACAAATATGAGCATATCACCTCCATTCTGAAAGATCTTCATTGGCTCCCAGTTTCACTCAGAATCAATTACAGATGTCTCTACTCTCCTGTCATGCTCCCTTTTTTAAAGGAACTCCTCATCTTCCTGATAAATCATATTCTCCGGTCTTCAACAGCAAATACACTTCTAACCCCCCAGAACCAAGCTCCACAGCATGGGGGATCAGGCCTTTCGATCACTGCTCCGAGGCCGTGGGTTGACTTACCTGACCACCTGAGGGCCCCACAAACTGTAGATGTTTTAAGCACAATCTTAAGGCTTTTGTTTTAGGAAAGACTTTTGCTAAATACATTCTATAAAACTATTTTACTTCTTTTTAGGTGCTTTTATGAACCTTGCTATTTTGTAGGACTTTAAGATTGCTGAAATATAAAGTGCATTAGGAATAAAATATTATTAAAGGAGAGTGAAGGTAAAGGATGATGCCAACCTCTGTAAATGCCCAAAAAGCAGATCCATAGTGTCATGGTTTGGAGCAGGAAGGCTTTTAACCAGCTCGTAAACGAGAGAAAATTTTGCTTTGTAATCAGGGTTTCCTAGAAAAACAGTAGCGCAATAAAAGATCAGTAATTATTCACCAAATATGTCATTTTAAAATCAGGCTTTTACGGAGTCAAATGTCTGCTCACTGATGGCTGAGATGAAGTTATTAAAGTGGCTGTAGGGGAAAAGTGGCTCAGGAAGCTCTCTGAAGAATAACTTCAGCGCTCCAGTGACGACATGAACATCTTCCCACTGACCGTCCTCCAGGTCCAGCTCCTCTGTGTGAACACATGCGCAACCCGTTAAAACTCATCAGGGGGCGCTGTTGTCTATAGGCAGCTTTCCTTTACCGTGATCAGCTTTATAACGTAGTTTCTGTATAATGGCCAGGTTTCCGTTGACTCTGTACAGTCCATCGATGTCTAAACCTGCAAATCGACACTTTTAGATCCTTTAATAAAGACACGAAACATAATTCAGCATTATTCAACTTTGTTTTGTTTACCTCTGTTTTCCACTGCTTTTATACATTTCTCCACAAAACTGGGAACTGTGGTCCTCTCAAGAGCACACAGTGTGGCCAGATGACACCCAAACACGTTTTCTATGTGAAACAATATTATCCCGATTAATGGCAACAAGATGAGAATTACATGTGTAACAAATAATAAACTAATAGCCTTTTTTAAAGTGTAAGTGAAAAATACACATACAGCTCAAAATCTTCTGACATGTATTGTATTTGTTTCTTTTTATTATTTTTATTTTATTTGATTACAAAAATTTAGGGAAACTTTAGTTATTGCAGCCAATTTTAATGTGACGAGCAGAAACTAAATGAGCAGTGTCTTTAACATTATACAAAAATATACAAAACCAGCCAAGATCTGGATTAGATCTCCTTGTGTGAGCTCACCTCTGATGTAGCCTTTCTCTTTGACTGACTGCAGCGTCGGACGCTTCATGAGAAGCTTCATCAGCTTGGTTCGAACCTTCTTCTGGTCTGTTTCCCCTGCGTTGCTGGGTGTGGGTGTTACAGTTACCTTGTAGGCTGAATAAACAGACAACAGCCGATTTAAGGGCATCAACGACACCACTCAGTCGAAATTAGGATGTTACAGGGTGTGTATCATGTTTCTTTTTTATTTACTAATGAAACACTCCCCAAAGCAGTTTTTGGCTTCACGTGTGCATTTTCCTTCAGCTCTGATAAGCTCTGCTAAGTTATTGTAAAAGGCTGGATGGACCATCATCATGCACCATTACTGCCCATCCAGGTAGACCTGAATCCGGATCCCTCCTCCCCTGGACTGTAAACACTAAAACCCAGTTTCTCAGAGTAGCTAGCGGGAAGTTTCATCTCCACAGTTGTGAAGAAGGGATTTCTTTCTTATCTAGTCTGCACTTTAAATACTGCCTACCGCATAATGCATTTTTCTCTGTGAGAGGAACTGGATCCCTGTCCAGCTTTCCTGAAGAAAAGTTCAATTGGCAGACATGATTGCATTTTATCTTCAGAAGCTCTTAAAAACCGAGCCAGAATGTGCTTGTTAACCCTTCACCAGTACCGGAGTGGGTTTTCAGACAGATTATTTCTCCAAACCAGCACAATTCTAACGTCAAAACCAACCAATGGTTAGAGAGCTGTAAGTAAAACCAAAATGCTAATCGTTAGCCGCTGGCTGAATGATTATGAAGCTTGGTAGGTGAGCACCAGGGATGCACATGGACAATAATTTATCCCAGCCACCTATTCTCTGTCTGAGTAGTGTGTGTGTGTGTGTGTGTGTGTGTGTGTGTGTGTGTAGAGGGAGGCATTCTGCAATTTACTCAAATCCAGACTTCTTGGACATCAGTAGATCAAGAGACAGAGTGGGTAGTCCAGTAATCGGAAGGTTGCAGGTTCAATCCCACCTCTGACCAGAGAATGCTGCTGTTGTGTCCTTGGGAGAGACACTTAACCCACCTTGCTTGCTGGTGGTGGTCAGACAGACTAGTGGTGCCTGTGTTCAGCAGGCCTCATCTCTGTCAGTGTGCCCCAGGGCAGCTGTGGCTTAATCGTAGCTCATCACCACCAACGTGTGTGTGTGTGTGTGTGTGTGTGTGTGTGTGTGTGTGTGTGTGTGTGTGTGTGTGTGTGTGTGTGTGTGTGAATGACTAATTGTGGTGTCAAGTGCCTTGGGGGGATGTTGAACCCTAAAAAGGCACTATACAAATACAGGAATGGCTCACGAAAATGACATCCCAATTGTGCCAACAATAATATTTTGCCATCTGTGCCTGTTGCTGCTCTGAAATGTGTAAAACAGTCTGACACAGGCCCTTTAAATCATCTGAACGATTTGACCCAGAACACTCTTGTTTTGCTGTGAAAGACATATTAACTCACATTTTCGTTTTTCGAGCTTGTCCTCTCGTTCGGTGTTTCCACCAATTTTTTCATACGCGTCTCCATCCTCTTCCTCCGAACGGTGGTCCTGGTACTCCTGAACAGACACAAATAAACTGCAATAAGTTTTTGTTTTAGATCAGGTTGAAACATATAAGAAAATATTCCATATATATTTCAAATCTATATATTTATGCATAGAAACAAGTGAAAAAAGACCCACATTGATGCCATAATTATTTTCACTCTGCCATCTGCAACCTGGCATTATGGAGCCCTGGACGGAACAAATCACTAACAAACATGTAGTTTCCAGATTGTAACACTAGATGTCACTCTAGCAAACACAATGGAGATTTAAAGTATATTTTATATTTAAAAGCAAAGAAAAATTGTATCAGTGTTTTTATTGATCAGGGAAATTGAACTACATTAGTAGTTTAGAAGGAAAGGACAAGAGGTTTTTAGATTGAATTTTGACAAAAGCAACATGTGTAATTCTTCTTTTCAAAGTGTTGTGAGTGTATTTCCATACCAAAATCCAGAAGTTAAATCAAATATGTTATATGTAAATTGCATTGAGTCAAAAGATGGTTATTGAAATCTTCTTCTGTTTTGTTCATTGATCTCATCAGACCAGATCAACAGTAGCTATTTCCCGTGGTTTTAAGGTTTATCCAAAGTTATTCACTGAGTTACTAGCAACAATTTAAAATGTCAACACAAGAGTCAGTCTTTGAATGTAGAAAACAGATTGCTGTACTAATTTTCTAATTCAAAACAAACAGCAGAAGAGCTGCCTTCTTGCTGGGCGTTCTTGAACCATTTCCTGTTTTGCTGGTAATGCAGACGTACCATTTGTCGAATGGTGTCCATTAAAATTTTGTGCCAGTCGTTGATGATGCTTTCCGTATCATACTGTAAAAGAAACTCCATTCCATTCTTCCCTTTTAGCTGAAAGAGGGGAAACTGCGTTATCAGTGAATGTAATGAACATGCTTTGATGCTAAAACAAGATCAAAGCTCTGATTTGTTGAAGACAACTTCCTCCACTTAGTGACATACTTCTGACTGTTTTAAGTGTCAACAAAAAGACACACCTCTAAAACATTCTTCTTGCTGGATTTGTCCTTGGTGGCCCAGCCAATCGTTGCTCCTTTCAGCTCCACCGTGACCTCTGGAACAATCTGATTGGTCTTGTTCTACATGACAGGAAGAAAAAACAAAAATTGCTCCAGCTGTTTATGAAACTGACTGGACCACATTCCACAAGACAAGCTGCATTAAACAAAAGCCGAGGCCATCCCGGCTGGCTCGTAACCTCAGGGCTTGTCTTCACCATCATAAAGATGATGAACGGGTGACATCGTGCTGCTACTGCAGTCCAAGGTTTCTTTTCTTTTTCTTAGACAATAAAACCAACACAGAAGTGTGGACACTTGATGAACTATCGTAGGTATCAAATAGCTTCTTATTAACTTAAGATGAGCATGTTTTTGTGCTGTGCACTTTTATCATTAATCCAAAGCTTTGGTCGTACCACGGTGCCTACTGTAGATTTAGGGTCTTTGTGGAATGTCAACACTCCTCCGTGGAGAACCGTCCATGTGGAAGACCAGTTCTTTCTGGGGGAAATAAATGAAGTCGTGAAAATTATAAAATAAAACCAGCAACAGAGTCAACAGGAAGAAAAAAAATATTTTAAATACATCTAAACTCAGAAACCTGTGGCATCAAAGCAACAATCGGCTTACCTCACTTTTTTCCCATTCTCAGACACTTTAGTTTTATTGAGAATTCCAGCTTTCTCCAAGTTCTGCACCTGGAAATGTCACAGAAACAAGAACATGTTCAGTTTTTGTTAAAACTTTTCTAACAGAAATATTTATGAAGGTAGACCATATGATGGAATGGAGGACAAACAACTCAGCCAACACCAGTAAAGGCTTTTTCAGTGAAAACACACCTCGACCAGACTCCTCCAATAACATGAACATTTATCCTTATTTTATTAATACAAAAAGGCTTGCCAACTCCAGGTCGGGAGTGAGGTCCTACCTCAAGTGGAGGGGTTTAAGTATCTCGGGGTCTTGTTCACGAGTGAGGGTAGGAGGGATCGGGAGATCGACAGGCGGATCGGTTTAGCGTCTGCAGTGATGCGGACGCTGAGTCGATCTGTCGTGGGGAAGAGGGAGCTGAGCCAGAAAGCCAGGCTCTCGATTTACCGGTCGATCTACGTCCCAATCCTCACCTATGGTCATGAGCTTTGGTAATGACCGAAAGAACGAGATCAAGAATACAAGCGGCCGAAATGAGTTTCCTCCGTAGGGTGGCCGGGCTCAGCCTTAGAGATAGGGTGAGGAGCTCGGACATTCGGGAGGGACTCGGAGTAGAACCGCTGCTCCTCCAGATCGAATGTAGTCAGCTGAGGTGGTTTGGGCATCTGGTCAGGATGGACGCCTCCCTGGGGAGGTGTTTCGGGCATGTCCTGCCGGCAGGAGCCCCCCGGGTCGACCCAGGACACGTTGGAGAGGTTACTTCTCCAATCTGATCCGGGAACGCCTTGGGGTCCTGCCGGAGGAGCTGGTGGAGGTGGCCGGGGAGAGGACGGTCTGGAGCTCCCTAGTTGGGATGCTGCCCCCGCGACCCGACAAGCGGAGGAAGACAGCAACGATAAAGGTGGCTAGAATAGTTTTTAGTGATGCTTTAAAGAAACTAGGGAATCTTGCATTTTCATTGTTTCTGTTTAACTTAAGCTAAAAGGTTAGGGCTGGTGATAATTTAATGTTTAGTGTTAAACAGCAGTTCAGCACTAAATGTTCTCCAGTATGAGGCCATCCTTCTGTGCCTAAGGCTCGTTCTAAAAGCTATCAAACAATCTGACGAGAAAAGGATGTGATGCCAGAGCAGCAGATATCAGATAATGTTGCAGCAATTGCCAAGTTTGCAAAAAATAAACTCAAAAACAGCGGGAAGAAAAACAAACAAGGTAATACTTTACAATAAGGGTCTCTTTGTTAACGTTACTTAGTGCATACTTAAGCATTAATAAACAATTTGATAAAGTTGAAACGACTGCTTAAACATATTATGTAATGCACCCCCCATTTGTCTTAACCTTAGGTACACTTAATAACAATATTGACTATGTTAATAAAGGGACCCATTGCTTATTGATGCTTATTAATGCACTAAGTAATGTTAATAAAGGGACCCTTATTGTAAAGTATCATTCACCCCCTCCTCCAAAAAAAGAAAACAAACAAAAAAAATATATACGGAGTTTATGATGATTTTGATGTTTGGAAAATTTACAAAAACTTTCAGCTCTCGGAATTTATGAGAAGACAGAAAACCTCTCTGTGAATCCTCTCTGGAGGTTTGGTGCAGTGTTCTACTGTAGCTGTGACATCTGCACAAATGTGTCCTGCAGCGCGACCGCCCAAACTTTTGTTGCATCCTAACCACAAACGTCAGCATCTGAAGTTCGCAAATGAACACCAAAACAAAAACATGACATATTTTGTCTTCTTGACTGACAAATGTATAAATAGTATCATCTTGCAGCCACATCTGGAGAAAGATGTCAAAAACAGGTCCGGTTTTTATTAAAAGAAGAAAAGTTCAGGGTTTTGGACCTCAGTGGCTTCAGTCAATGGGAACTATTTTACTAATAAAGAAAAAGCAATTCATTAAAGTTTTGAATCCTGTGGAGTTCTTAAAGCAGTCTGCAGAAGCTTAAGGGGGTAACTTAAAAATGATAAAGAAATAGCTAGTTCTGTGTTCTGAGGCCCGCGTGTGTCTGTAGAAAACAGAGACTTTTAAACAGGAAGTAACAGACAGGAAGTTGTGCACTCTGGCATGAAAATCAATACACACTAATAGCTCTGTTCAGCTGTGTGACGGTTTAAAATGTTGTGTATAGATAAAAATATTCGTGTTGAAAAGGCGGTGAACACAGCGTGGTCCACAGCCCTTTGCATTAATGGAAGGATTCTTCTGGGAAGTGTTCTCCAAACAAGAGCTGAAGCACTTCTCATCAGCTTCAACAAACATTTACAAGCTTGAGCGGCCAAAGGAGAGTTTGCTAAGTACCATCTTCGCTGGATGCCAAAACATTTGATTTGGACGTCTTGAAATTTTTAATGAACTTTCTTCTTGAGGCGCATCATTAAACCACAAGGCTGTTTGGACATCAGCTCATGTTTTACCTTCGCAACTAATTAAAGTGAGAGAATTAAACTTGTTCATGCAGATGTTATTACATTCTCATTTCTGTGTAAATGTAGTGACCCAAGAAATGATCTCTCTGAAAGTTTTAGACTCTGGTTTAGCAGACAACACATTTTAGAGCTCTAATACTGTATTAGCATTGCTGAAGTCTTAATGACACAAATATGCACATTTAGACACCAAAAGCACAAATAACAAATGAAGTAGAACATCATGCAAAGGAAAACGACCTGAGTGTGGATCTAAAATCACACCTTTAGCTCATCATAGATAGATGCTACTATCTACAGTTCAAGCTCAGGTGAGTGCTTGAACTAAAAACCCACATTATAGCGCAGCCACCTTGAGGTCAGATAATAGGGATTTCTCCAGGGTCTAAGCCCAAAAGCCTTAAGAGAGAGACACAAAACACTGTTCAGATACAGAAATCATCGTCCCCAAACGGCTGAACTCAGAGCTTTTACTGTCTCCCGCTTGGACAGGAGGGACAAAAGATCCACTTACGAAATGCTGTGTCTCAGGAGAGTTCCCTGTACTGGAGCAGTCGCTGCTGTAGTCTGATGTGTTCCTCACATGGGTCGGGATGAACCTCTGAAGTTAAAACAAGCGGAAGGAGATTTTATGATTTACAGAATGCAGACAAATCTGTGTCCTGATTCAAATGAACTCTTTAGCTGGATGCTCAGTAGAGTATTTTAGTATCTTTATCTAAATACAACAAACCTAATTAAAAATCTACTCAACTGAAATAATTCTAAAAAATATTAAGATTTTTGGAAGAAAAAACAAATATAGTTGCTCACAAAAATAAATTAATTGCTTGTTTTTTCATTAGATCTTTTCATTGTTAAACAGAAATTATAGTGAGCAATATTTGTAGTTTTAATGCTTTAAAACAACAGTAGCTTTGATTCTGATAACCCTAACCCTCGCTCTGGTTCTGATTTTTGTCTTGTAGCATTAAGATGTCATTTTTATTTACATATTTGTTTGATTATTTGTGTCTACATAGTAAAAAGACATGGTTAGGACCTCACCCAGAGATGGCCCAAGTGAAAATCTCATTTTCACCATCTAAAGGAACCCAAACTTAAAACTTTACAAACATTTATATTAAAGAATATTTTGGATATTTACAGCCCACCCTTTTTTACTGTCAAACATTGATGCTATGCTGACTGTATGGATTAGTGCAAATGGAGCTGTTGTTTCCTCAACCTTCCGGAGAAATTAGGTCATATGAATAAATTACCCCCCCCCCCCCCCCCCCCCGAAATGAATGCTGTCTTCATCTTAGAAGTCATTTTTTAGGGTTATGTAGTTGTTTAAGAATCTGCAAGCCTGTTTGCAACAGGATGCCCACAGAAGCCTAGAAGCATAGCAATATTAAAATATAGTAAAAGAGCTGTATTATGCACAAGGGAAAAGTGTAAAAACATTGAAGTTTATTTTATTGAAAAATCAGAAATTTGCTTTTTAATAGGTCCTGATCTGAATAGTGGTATATTTTTAAAATCTTCCCTGCTTGACCACGGCTTGCTTGTTTTTTTAGTGTCCAACTCTGTTGCCAGCAAAGACTAAATCCTCAGACTGCTGACCTTCGAGAATATTAATTCTTGAATTCTTAGTTTTGTAGAAAGGAAAAGCAATGCCCCTTATTTGTCTGTGTGTTTTTGCTCTCTCTGCATCTCAGTCAGAGGGAAAACGCTGTAATTGATGAGCGTTGCTAAGTAGGGTCACAGCCTTCGGTGTTGGCTGATAAACACAAACGAACCCACGCTACTCCCCTGCTGCAGAGCTGATGCTTTATATTTAGGATGATGTGTGACAAACTGTACGTGTGTATGAGTGTGTGTTAGTCTGTGCATGGGTGTACCCCGTCATCGAAGGCAGGAGGGAACTGAGAAGGTCCCTTTGAGTCTCTCCAGTGTTTGATGACCGGCACGTTCCCATTATCAATGTGATTGTCCAGCCTGGAGTGTGACGGGCCCGCAGGGGCCTGCAGAGTCCGCACAGACAACAAACTGACTCAGGTTCTACTTTTATCAACAAAACTTAAACATGTCTAAAAATCTCATATCTGCTTTTTCTCCACATCAGTTAAATGAGAGTTTTACCTCAGGCAAGTTCCACTGGGACCTGGTGCCGTCTCTCAGATAGTAATAGGTCTGCCCCTGATCGTCCACCGACTTGATCCACTGTTGTCCAACAGAAAGGTGCACACACGTTTTATGCTGTCTTTAAAAATTAAAAGTCCAAAAACAGCAGCTCTAAACTACACTAAAGGGTTTCAGTTTGAACATTTCATTCATTCCAGAACTTGAAAGTCTAGTTTTTGCTCAGCAAATAATTGCATTTTGGGATTCAGCACATCAACATGTCCAATCGTTGTGTACATTTTGTTGTCAAATACTGATCTACTAAAAAATAATTTATTTATAAGAACATCAAGAACAAAACTGCTGTTTTTTTAAAAACCAGATGGAACCAAAGCGCCACCTGCACCGCTCATGTGGTCAAACAGGCTGACCTACCACCTCTGACACTTTTCATAACTTTCCAAAACAAATTATTCCACATTCATACTCACGTACGCCCTCAATGCACAAATGTTTGGAGGTGATCTTGCTCACTATTTGCTTTCTATGATAGTGGTAGAAGTATAAAAACTATAGGAGGAGGAGATCTTTTCTCTTTAGTACCAAATTGACAAAAAATATTACAAACAGCCTTATAATGAGGCTAAAATATGTTCTGCATAACCTATTTAATGTTAAATGTTTGTAATGGTGAAACAAAAGGAAAATTGACAGTTTCTGACAAATTTTCAAATGATTAACCAGATAATCTGGATTATCCTTCTGCGCACCTCATCTGGAGAGTTTTGACTGGAGAACACCCACGTCCCATTAGGGTCTACATTAAGGTTCCAGCCAGGAGGGGTACTGCGGTCCAGGTTGGCCCGAGGGATGACGGTCCGATCCACGTGGCTGAGAGCGTACTCCTTTGGGAGGGTTGTGGGACCCGTGGCTTGGAGCTCTTCGTATGTGTTTGTTTGATCTGCTCCAGGGTAATCCTCCGGAGGGTAGTCCTCCTCGGGTAACGGAGGCTGAAAAAGAGGACACAAAAAAAGAGCAGATTAAACGTTTGTCTCTCTTCAAAATTCAACAAAATCCTCCGAGCATTAAATGACTGACACAGGGGATTGTTAAAAAAAGTTATTTTATTTTATTATAACTGAAAGATTGACTTTGAAATAAAAAATGTAGTTTTCTTGTACACTTGTTTTCCAGCCAACAGAGGCGTGTCCAGGGGGTGGCCTGGGGTAGCACATGCCACCCTTGGAATCTGTCTGGCCACCCCACTGAATTTCCTTCAAATAGAGTTGTCCACAAAAAGCTTGGGGTAAAAAAGAAAAAGCATAAACATTGGTACCACCCATGCACAAAGAAGTGCACCACCTGGGCCACCCCATTTTAAAAGATCTGGCTACGCCACTGCCAGCCAAGACAATGATCCAAATTAAGTTCAAGTCCCTTAGATTTACACTTTAGGGAAATCGAAGCTGCTTTTGTCAGGAAATTTAAAAAAATGTGTTCAGTGATCAAAACAGAAAACATAAATTCCCCTTTTAATCTTTCTGCAGTGAGGCTGAAAATAGACAGAAGCTGTTGGGTCTTTCTTCATGTCGTAGGCTGATTAATTTCACAATGTAATCTTGAAATCTCTGGTAAAAAATGGTGCAACATTTCCATGACCTCAAAGTTTTACTTTCCCTCGGCCCACTATTGCTGTTTCTCAGCTCGGAAAAAGTCACTCAAGGGTAAAAACGGGGCTACGTGCTGCTGCAGCACAGACTCTACTGAGGCCAGGTGTGTTGTATGGATCAAGATCTGGGTTAAAATATTTCCTCACATCTCCTAGATAATCCAAAAAGAAACCCCAATAATCATTTCTGTTGAATCAAATTGAGGACAGACGTCTTTTAGGGCCACTGCTGAGGGAGTGATGGTACGCCAGCTGTAATACTTCCTCATAAAACCAGATATGTCTATATGTAGGTGCAGGAGATTTAACTCCATTAAAAGTCGACCGCTTTTACAGTTTTCCCCTGGGTGAAGCTAAAACGGGAGACAGAGAGACGCTAAGTAGAGCAGCTGGGATGTCTGTCCTTACCGGTCCATCATTGTGAAACCTGTGAACACTCATAGGCTCCAGCAGAGGGGGATACGGGCTCTGCTCGGGGGGTTCCCAGGACGTCTCCCCAGACATCGGGTTGTAGAAGTAGGGACAACCACTGGTCTCATCCACCAGCTTTTCCCAGTCTGACGCCCACCCAGGAGGGAGGGAAGCGGACAAATCAGGAGACTGAAGAGGTGACGGGAAGTAAGGTTCCTCTGCAGGGGAGCAGTCAGGGTCCGTGGGGGAGTCTAAAAAGGGGTTGTCCCAGGTGGTGCGCCCTGTTGCAGGGTGGTAGTAGTATTCCTGTCCACTTTCCTGGTCAACATGCACCTCCCATTCCTCCTGGTCCAGATAGGAAGGAGAGCGAGGTGAGGCATCCGGCGGGGGGGACTCAGAGATACTTTGTCGGAGCTGAGCTACGTTGACGTACACCGCCGTCTGGAGGTTTTCATTCTGCGCCTGTTGAAAATACAAAAAAATTTGCATGATACTGATAAATAAACTGCAGCTTTAACACAACAAAAGCGTGTCTTTGAGTACATTTCTTAGAGAAAATTATGTTTTTTCAATAATTCTCTAAGATATTTTCAGCAGAAGCTTGTGCTATAATAAAAGTAGTGAACTTTGTGGTTTTTGCTCTTGTAAAAGCAGAAGAAACAGAGCAGGCAGTGTCATACATGCTACAAATAACTATAGTTATAGTTATACTGCCGCCAGCACAACACAGAAAGTCTATCTGAAGAAAACCCACAACGTTTTGGGCTCCTTATTCAGACACAAATGGCCAATAAATAAAACTTGTCATTTCATTTGCAAATAAGCATTTAAACTTAAAAGGAAAGTACAAACGTACAATAAAACTGTTTAGCTGAATAAACAGTCGTTTAAAAGAATCTGCAGTACACATGTCATCAAACGCTGGACAAAATATCAATATCTGACGACAAGTCAGCCGCAGTGAGCTACAGCTGGGTTACATTTCTATTACACACTAACTTTGGTGCTGTTGTCCCACTCTGCTAGCTGCTGTCGACAGAGCAGCGATGTGTGTTGAGTTTCTATAAGTCAGAAGGAAGCTGTAAGTAAACAGATCTCCTCATGGGAGCTGACATGCAAAACAGGTTGAGTCTTCACATATAATTTGTTTACAGAACACTGATGAGAGTGAAAGGCTGCATCTGTGTAGGAACCTATTCAACGAAAAGCTCTTCATGTTCTCGTTTCCTCAACTTTGCTCCTTTAAGGTTTATCATTCTCTGGGTGACTCACACTCCCTGTGCCATTTTTGTAATAAAATTATATCCTACTCTGAACTAAACTTTAACTCATATTTCATCGCTAAACTCCTTTACAGAGATCTGAGTGTACATGTTTCTGCTGATCAAAGGAGTGGAATGTTACAGGAGTCGAGATAAAGCAGCATAAAATCAGCAACTGAATGATAAATGACCCGCACTTGTACAGCACCTTTCAGAGTCAGCGCTTTACACTACAGTGTATCATTCATCCATTCACACACTGGTGATGATAAGCTACAGTGTAGCAACAGCTGCCCTGGGGTACACCAACAGAGGCTAGGCTGCTGAACTCTGGCGCCCCCAGTTTCTCCGACCACCACCACCATGCGATGTGGGTTAAGTGTCTTGCCCAAGGACACAAGAGCAGAATTCTCTCCTGGGAGCCGGGATCGATCCCACAACCCTCCGATTACTGGATAACCTGCTCTACATCCTGAGCTGCAGCTGCTCTCCAATTAAGTTAGAACAGTTAAAGATTAAGGCAGGGGTGTGACCAAGTCACTGCTTTGCAAGTCACAAGTCTTTCCAGTCAAGTCTCGAGTCAAGTCCGAGTCAAAGACAACCAAATCCAAGTCAAGTCCAACGTCAATGATGTGGAAGTCCAAGTCAAGTCCAAGTCCTTATCTTTGAAATTTCAAGTCATAATCAAGTCATCTGTCCAACTTTAATTCACATTTAATTTTGACAATGATAATTCATAAATTCCAGAAATAAAGCTTCTCAAAGCTTCGTTCATTTGCTCAAACGAGCAGAAAGTGCAACCGAAACTGATTCTAAACAAAGTGCTGCTGCATTTAACAGAACAAGATCTAACACAGAACCAAGAATGATTTATGATTTTTGTCCACGTCGTGCCACTTTTGTGCTAAAAAAACAAATATGCTCAAGTCATCATCAAGTCAACAGATGCAAGTTGATTCAAGTCGCAAGTCATTGGCGTTCAAGTCCGAGTCAAGTTGTAAGTCTTAATAGATTTTATCAAGTTAAGTCAGAAGTCATTAAAATAATTACTCGAGTCTGACTCGAGTCCAAGTCATGTGACTCGAGTCCACACCTCTTGATTAAGGTCCCACTAGTCATCGTCACACACTGGCGACATTTCTTCCCCACCATTGGCTCATCCCACACGGCCGCACTCGGGAACTATGTGGTGGTTTAACCCCCCAATCGAACCCCTCAAAGCTGAGTGTCTAGGCCACCGAGCTGGCTCCGTAGTCGAATAAAACAATAAAATATAATAGCAATTATTAATTTAAGCATTTTTAGGAATATTTTGAACTCTTATCTGCAGCGTTCTGGCATTTTTCATCATAATAGAATAAAATATATAATGTATTTTACCATTTAATAAAATACTCAATAAGAAATGGAGATAAAAGAAGATATCAATGAGAAGATAAATCAATTTTAAAATGCTGTGAAAAAATTAACAAACAAATAAATAAATAAATAAATATTTTTTATTTTACTTTATTTGTCAGAACAAATTGGTAATGTGGCAGATGACTTCAGTACTCACTGGATTACACATTTACAGCTTCACAAAGTGCTCAGTTCTGTAAAATGGATTCCCCAGAAGCCAAAGTTGGCTTACAAATAGGGACCCTCAAAATCCGCAAGAATACAGTCAACAATACATAAAACCACGCAGCCAATCAACAAATACATTAGCCACCCTCCCAAAAACCCACCCATCTCATCCACAATGCCATTGAATCTCTGAACATGTTCCTATCAGCAAGCACACATCACCTTCACCTACCACCTTGGTCATAAACAACACCAAGAATGAGGTAATCAGATAATCAATTAAATGTGATGCCATTGGCCCATGGGGTCAAATATGTGTAATGTGATACAAGATTATATTTGAGACACCGTGTTAGGTTTTTTTTTTTCTGTGAGGCACCACGTGATTTTTATCTTGAGAGGTGCTATTTAAAAGATCTCTTTCTTTCCTTCTTTCTTTCCTTCTTTCTTTCTTTCTTTCTTTCTTTCTTTCTTAAAAAATGAAGAGAAGGTAGTAAGTAAAAGCAAAAATGTAAATGGATGAAATTGATCAAAAACGTTTTTACTGCTTTACCGTCCCCATGTGTCTGCTACAGAAAATCAGTTTTAAAGATGTTTTAGAGTAAAAATGTAGTGAATGGAATAATAAATGTAGAGGAAAGATCTGGTAAAGGTTGGTGCGTGACTTGGCTTTGGCTGCATGATGTTGCAGTGGTCAGCCATGCAGCACAAAGTTCCCAAGTTTGAATCCCTGCCTGGGGTCTTTCTGCATAGTGTGGGCTGCATGGGGGCACAGTTGTTAACATTGTTGCCTCGCAGCAAGAAGGTTGCATGTTTGAAACCCGGCTGTGGCGTTTCTGCGTGGAGTTGCATCTTCTCCCCATACATGCGTGGGTTTCCTCCTCAGGTTGACTGGCATCTAAATTGTCCTTAGGTGTGAGTGTGTGTGCATGGTTGTTTGTCCTGTGTGTTTTTGTGTTGCCCTGTGATGGACTGACCTCCTGTCTATGGTGTACCCCGCATGTTTGCCTTAAGACTGCTGGAGATAGACACCAGCACCCCGCGACCCTGCATGGATAAGTAGGTATGGAGAATGGATGGATGGTGCTTTTTAGGTTTTCCTAACCCACAAAATATCAGTAGCAGAGGTGCAGCTATCACAGGTTTAAGCAAAGAAATATTAATGGGTTGGTTAACTGAGACTAAAACAGCCTCAACAACCACTTTGACCCATTAATAAGAACTGTGTTATTTATTTCAACAGCTATGGTGAACGTATATTGTCTTTGATTCTAACTTTTGCTTATCATTTCTTTTGCACCAAGTATCGCAACAATTTCTTAATGTTGTGATTTCTCACACATGGCAAAAAAACCCTGATTCTGATCTGATATCTGAGACGATCTCACAACCCTTAAGCTGGTGTTTCAAATCAACTTTATTTATATATATAGCACTTTTCATACAAAAAAAAAAAAAAAAAAAGCTGCACTGAGACATGTTAGGATTTGTATTGTTGTATCAGATTAACCTGAAGGCTTTGTTGAGTTTTCTATCCCTGTTCAGAGGAAAGGTCACAAGGTCACAAAAGTTGAGTCGATTTATTCTTTCAACATAATTCACAAAATAGTTAGAAAACAGGAAGTGATTCTTTTTGCTCGTAATCAAAGAGGTGGAGATGTAGAGGGAAGCTGGTCCACTGCAAACGCTAAATTTAACTGTTCAGCCTTAAAGATATTATCTGGTCTGTTTTTAATTTTTGTTTAATTGTTAAAGTGGTCCAGTCAGCAAGCACAGCTGATTAACAACAAAGCAGTCTCTTATCGCTTTACCAACCCAGCTTCAGCATTGATCTAAACGTGATCACGGGACAGTCAGTGTGAACTACACCAGACAACTGACCCCAAATCAGATTGATTCTGAACAGCAGAGAGGAAATGAAATCATTGACCTCTCTAATTCATGCTGGGCAGCCTGAATCCTTTTACAACAGACCACTAAATACCAGCAACATTCAATAAAGGTCTGATCCAGTCAACTCAAAGGCCGATAAATCTCTAATGTTGTCTGCAGTAGAGAAAGTCTCTATCTCCCATTTTCTCTCTTTTCCTCTTCTTTTTGATTCAATGTTTACATTGAATCTCTAATCTAGTTTAAAATACGGATAACTCAGTAGACTGGTTGTAAATTGGTGAAATTATAGATAAAAACACAAAACGTCACTTTCTGAGCTTCAAATATGTTTAGCATTGTAATTACCAATTGTGTCACAGGTCATGATATACTGCTGAATCTGACCTATTTGTTCTATTTCTGCAGCCCAGGATAAATAAACATCGGTTCTTCGCTCTGCATGACTATAAAGAATCAACCAGCTCTCTGATGTGGGTCTTGTGTTGTGTTTTATTCTAAGGAAAAGGCTAAAACAGTCACAGAAACACTTTCGCTTTCAGATGGTAACTTATCCATCAGGGGAGCTCTGATAACACTTAACATTAACATTTGTTTTTATATCATGACTGATTAAAACAAAAAGTAAAAGGCATCCAAAAAGGCAGGGCAGCATGACTTAACCGTTTACACCACTTCACAGCAACAGGAAAAGAATGAAAGAGGTATGATTCAGTGAAACAGGAAGCAGCACCGTTATCA